TTATAACAAAGATTTAAAATATTTTGCAGCCTAAAGATTTAGCTGGTGCAATGTATGTTTAAAAGAGTGGCATTGTTATTTGTCCATATGCAAAATACACGACAGTCATCCATTTTGTTGCAGCAATTATACATAATTTTCCATCAACAGCAACATTTGCATACAAAAGGCTGTCAAATCTGTGTACATCTGCAGGCAAAAAATATTACACCCATCTATTGTATTCTAGGAGTTCTATGTAATTTCGGTGAGCAGCAACACTTAGAAAACATTACAAAGCGCTGGTGTATGTACATGCAAAAAATACCATACAATGTTTATCACCAAGGACTATTTACATCCCAAAAAAATATTAGAAGCATTGTCTGATGCAAATTAGGAAAAGCTGGAAAAATTTTCACCTAGAGTACCCAAAGTGATAGTAGAGTATTTTTCACAATGGAGAAACCAACCTAAACAAAGGAAAAGAATGGGAAACATTTAGATAGGCATTAAATTTATGCTTCAATAAATTTAGATCAAAAGAAAAACTGATGGTAGAGTATTGTCACCTATTGTTTTTTTGGAAGAGTCAAATCTGCCTTTCGAGGAGTGGGAGGTGATTTTTTATTTTTTTATTTTTTTAACAGCTTGATGGGAATTTGATCAGTCTTTTTTCACTTGGTCTTGATATATCTTCTACATTAATGTTTCAAATCGATAACAAATGTTAGAAAAAATGAACAGAGAATAGTTTAAAACCTGTACAAAGCAAAGATAGCAAACAAACCTTTGTTCTTTACCAATAAAAAGAGGTCTTCTCACCGACTCTCTTTTTCGCTTGTGGGATTCTGCAGTTGTGTCTGGTGTTGACATAAAAGATGAAACCGCAGTTGTGGGCATAGTAATTTCCCTTAACAATGTATGTGGAGTTGTTGGCTCAATACTCGCATCGTCAGAGACATTGTAAATGAGAACATCACTTCAATTAAAGTTGTTTCTTCTATTGCCAAAACGTAGGTGATAATTTTTTTTTCTGCCCTATCAATATGAGAAACTCATTGGGTAATTGTTGTTAATCCACCAATCTCTGATTTAGGATCAAATCTTTGCAAGGCGTTCCAAAAACTTTTTGCCAGATTTACCAATTATCAAAGTAGTGATTTCATTGGTGTGGTCCTCAAGAATCAAATTTACTTTGTACCTATATTTAAAATTTGGGTGATATATTTTTGACACAATCGATCATTCAAGGGAGAAATGTTTTTTGTACCAATGCATTAAACGCGAAATAGTATTCATGTTAAGTGAGGAAGAGCATAAATTATTAATTATATATAAATTGAAAAAAAAATGGTGACAGATTGTATTTAAATTTGCAAGATAGAAAATTGAAACTGAGGATGTAACACATTACCAAGGCATTGGAATTTGATCGTGGTGTTTTTGGCAAACTAGTTGTCCACTCGCTGGATCCTTATGCATCTGCTTTACACAATTTGGACAAGAATTGTACCACCAATCAAATCGCTTGTCAAAACAATTGACGGATGCCTTGCACAAAAACGTGTAGTTCTGGAAAATGTTTTGATATATATTTGTATAATGATGAGTCAGCATGTAAATAATTTTGAGTAAATTTGTAGTTATCAAATTTAGAAAATATAAAAAGTTTTATTAAAGTTTTATACCTTATATAAATTTGGATCCAAGAAAGCTAATTCATCAATCGTTAATCTCTTGGCAGTTTGTAAAATTTGAGCTTCATTTGCCTGCCGCGAAGAGGGTGGCAGTGTTTTAACAGTCTCTATGCGAGTAAACTTGCAGGTTTTAAAAAATAATGTGACTTGAATAAGTTTGTAAAAATAACATATCTTTTGTTGTAAAAATAATAGGTATATTTTTGTTCTCTCTGGAGAAATGTAAACGTACCCACACTGATTTGTATGAGTTTAACTCTGGGATGTCCGCATCAAGGAAGAAAAGCAAGGAACTAACATTAATAATGGAAACAGTGGTATTCAACACAATCTTATCTGTGCATCGGAAAAATAATGGAAACAACATGAATACAACATTAATAAAGAGTCCATATAATGTCATATACGTTTAAAGTTTCTAAGTATAGAATCGTAACCTATTTCATTATTGATAACAAATTAGATAGAAAAAATAAAAAAAAAACCAATCAGAGATAGTAAATGCTTTGAAGTCGTGTTATAAGAGATGGTTAACACAATTTACACCATATGATATTTAAAAATAGGGTAATAACGATATGAAATATGTTAATTTTTAATCGAATTAAATAAATAGGTATAAATTTACTTTCAAACGCGTGAAAACGACAATAATTGGTGGAGACAATGCTTCCATCGACAATGAACACAAATTCTCTCTCTACAACAACTCCCCATAACGTAACTTTCAGTTCTTCTTTTCTGTTGCAAAAGCAAATCTAAAGTAGATTTTCATACAGCAAGAAACAATGCATTTAATTATTATATAAAAAAAGTAGATAGTCGATATCATAAACGACACATCTCGATCCGAAATGTCCACTTGGACTTCGAATCGAGCTATGATGGCCGACATTTGGAAGTTGATGAAGCCATAAAGTGTAGTGATGTAGAAAATATGAATAAATTTAAACATAAAAGTGCCTAAGTATAAGAGTGCACTGTGAGCAGAAATGAACCCATTTCACATGTGATGTCAAAGCATAAGTAAAGTACAGTGGAGTGGATTGAGAATCATACCATCGAAGGTAATCTCCAATACCAAGATTTACCACGAATCCTTGTCGATAAGAAAGCTCAGCTACTAAAACCTGAAGTTCGCGCTATAACTTCCTAGCACGAATATCGAGACGTCATGAACAATCATCGTCTATGACTAAGGCCAATTTGGTTGGAAAAAGCTCCAATTCGTCTTTAACCCGCCGGAAACCCTAAAAAGGGTGCACTTCGATTCAACCTCAAATCAAACTCTGACGCCCCCAAACTTGTTTGGGCTTTGATCCATACCTCAAGGAGAGTTGAACAAGGGTGGTGGTCGACGGTGATAACTGCACGAATGACGGATTGCCGTCGTGACACCCACAAACCCACCGTGGGGTTCTTCACAATTTCAAGGCCAATTTCACTCGGGTTTGGGGTGGAACTTGAAGAAGAAGGGCGGTGGAGTCGATTTTGGGTAGTGGTGACAATCATTTCACCGAAAGAACGCCAAAGTCGGCTTTGGGGTGTTTCGAACTTGTGTCGGGTGGGCGGGAAGGAACCGGATTAGGGTGATCCAGTACTCTCTCTCTCTCCCCCTCATTTTCTCTCCTTTCTTCTCCTCCTGACTGGTCACTCTCCTCACCTCCTTCTTCTGGTTGGTCCATCCACCTTCCTTTCTCTCATTCTCCCTTCTCTTCTCCAATTGGGCAGCAGCCCTTTCCTTCTCTGATTAGGTAGTAGCCCCTCATTTCCTCTCCCTAACTTTCCATTCACAACCACAAACGTGGCTTCCTAAAACAAGCCACAAAAATATCTCCCAAATATGAAATTTATCAATTTATCTTCGGTATTCTTTAGTCCTGGTTATCCTCCACATCAAGTTCCCAATTATTCAATTAACAGTTCATTCAATTCTAATCATCGTTGCCCTTGGTTCAATTGCCCTTATCATTATTATATTGTTATGGACCAGTTTTCTTCTTCGATGAACCGAATGGTTTAGTAACAAGTTTGATAAGAATTAAACGGCGAGACTGCAAACAAATGCAAGTTGTGGGCCAAAATGGTAAGACAACAACTAAAGAGTGATGGTGCTGACCATGATTCTCAGGCAAGTTCTAACTTCCAAAACTCAACCTGCCTCTGCCATTGTTTTCAATACAGATAATCTTTATTGTAGGCTTCCACTTGACAGCAAATTTCTAGAGACCAAAATTATTCATACACATAAATAATGGCATCATTGATTCAACATCATGGCATCAATGATTCAAAATCAACAAAGGAATCTAGGTTTATACCTTTCCAATTTTAGACTCAAAATCAACAGGTATTGCGACAAAGTTTTTTCTGTCGCTGGTCGAGTTACCCTATGTCTCCAGTTCCTTTTCAAAATCAAGAAAGGGATCTGGGTTTATACCCTTCGATTGCAAGATCCCTACACAAATAACAACTTGCATGAGACACTGTCCTTTAATTGTTCCTTAATCTAAACATTGAAAACGAAATCAAAGAAGGATGAGATTGAAATTTACCTTTGGGGTGTTAGGTCCAAAAGAAATTTGAGGGCAGTGAGTGCCGAGATTCTGTGGCATGTGAGAAAGTTTGAAGGACAGAGAGATTTTTAAAAATTTGAGAAGTGGTGGACACTGTGTTGTTCTGGTATGCTATAAACGGGTCCATTCGGGGGCCAGTGAAACTAAAGTTTTGGAACCACCCCGCCCCGCCCCGTCTCGTTCATTCTCTACTAAAATCGAACCTGCCCCATACCCGTACCGAACCGATTGTACCCAGCCCATGCCCCATGGGTCCTAGACCCATTTGTCCACCCCTAGTTTACATATCCTCTTTGAGACGACTTCCACACATCTGTTCTATATATATAGGCAACTCTTTCTACATATTGCACATTTATTTTGACCACCTCAAGCAAGACATACAAATGTTACAGAAAATTATTCTAAGCACATGAACTTATCGTGATCATACAAATAAATGTGTAGTCAAGAGTAAATATAACAAGTTGGGAGTCCATGATATAATCCTCAAAATTAATTTAGCCATTTTTAGTACACTCGTGAAATTATAGTTGTATCTATCACCCTCGATGAGATGGGCAAATTGAAGCTGTAAATACGACCTTGGGCAGCTTGCTTTGAAGTTTGTCGGCAAAAAGGCCAAAATCAAGCCCTCCCTTATGGTTACTATGGAAATTAGAAACACTACATGGCACCTTAACTGAAAAATCAAATAAAAATTTTGAACTGCAAAATTTAGAAAAATATTAAAACACAAACCACAAAACGAAAACTTTTTACCAGTCCAATTTCTAATCTGTCTGCAAAGAGAAATGTCCTATCAGAAGCCAATGTAAGTCAAGTATATACAAGTGCTTGTGCCTTTTTAGCCTTGATCACTTAAATGCCAACATTGCCAATTGCAGCACAGTTGCAAATCAAAATCAACTTAAATTAATCTGATGCAAAACCTCCGGCAGGGGTAGAGATATTACAAAACTTCTTTTCCTTTTTCCACATTTCTGATTTTCTTTTTCTATCAAAGCTTCCTTTGCATGTCTTGTGGAAGAAAGGTGAGGGATGGAACCAATTAAAATGCTCACACAAAAGACCAGTTTATGAAGGAGAAGGCCAGGCAATGGACAGAGTTTTCTTCTGCAGCAAGTACTTTCCATGCAATCGCTTGTTCGTACGACACGTGGCGAGCCATCGTTGACATGCAAATGCCGGCTGGCAAGTACGCAAAACCCTGATGAGGAAGAAAGGATAAAAGATGAATTAGGCTACAATGAGAGACAGCATATGGCTTTACACGTAACTGAGGGAGGGAAGAAAGTTCAAACATCTCATGTACCTGGTTCATTAGTTTAGAAAAGTCTGCGCACAACGTCTTGCGTCCGGCCTCGTCAAAAATCTTATCCAATGAGATGTCCTGAAGGGCGACTAATGTTGTTTCCAGCATGTCAAGTCCTGCCTGGTTTGCAAAGGTGAAAACCGGCATTGACTGCAAAACAAACAAATTGCGCAGATTACGATCTCCACAAATTATTAATCAGAATGACATGTTAAATTTGTCCCGCTACTCGGAATCGATATAAAGACTTAGCATGTGTGTCAGTCATGATGCAATGTACCTTTAATGAACAACACAAAATAGCATCTTGGTGATGCCATAAATGTTTCAACATCGAGTCACCACCAAAGGAATCAGGTCTCAGCAGTTCTCCCCCAACATGATAACTGTAGGTGAGAAAGAAACGGATTGAGAAATAGAAATTATGCGCAAATACGGTACGTTTTTCCCAACAGATGAATCATGCATGCAATCTAAAGTATTCAACAAAGAACTTGCCTGTAACTCTGGCAGATCCAGTGAGCCAGTGTCTCAGCTTCTGGAGAGCTGGGAGATAGTTTTGGTCCCACAGACGGACTCAATCCAGATGGAGATATAGCCATTGCAACTCTCTGCACGGATGAAATTACGCTACGAACATACTGCCGTGCCATGTTTGCCACATTCTCTTGTAGACTATTATCAAGCGGAAACTGGAAGGCAATCGTCAATACTGATCGAGTATTGTGAAATGTAGTTAGATCTCCAGCTGCATTGCTCGTTGTTGAGCCGACTTCAAGACTGGATGCCAGATCTAATGTTCGATGCGTATTCAAAGTAGCCTTTGAATCACTCTGTATTCATAATTGCAAGACATTAGCATGTTGGGGGAGCCCAAAAAACACATTAAGATGTAGTCCAGCATGGCCCGAAGGCTATGAAAATATTGATGCATATGTCTATTTGGTTGAATTAACAGGTAAAACCCACGTGAAGCACAAAAAAAACTCAACTGTTTTTGAATCCAATGGGATAATACGGAAACCAGAGGGAAGCAAGGGAGCATCATCTGGAAACATCTCATCAATTGGGGCAAAAACAAGCTCAGAACAGGCTCCGGCAGCATTCTCATCAACTCCACTACATATCTGCCAATAGAAACAAGACATTTTTTCGTATGATCAGTACACAATAGTACCCCAACAGATAGTAGCAAGGACGGCAGTAGCTGAACAAGCAGCAGGAAAAAGCACCTGCAAGAGATGAATGTCCCTTGATGCAAAAGCATCCTCTTGAGTGAGAGAATGGCCTTCAAGTCGAACAACTTCAAGCAACTGGAATCAAAATTAGAGGTTAGAAAAAAGAAAAGAAAAGAAAAGGGGGATGAGAAGCACCCTGTAGAATATACTTGCACTCTAACATGACAGAAAGTGGTTGCAATTATCATCCTGTTGATGTAATGTTTCACAACAATGGTTCAGATGTTACTCACAAAAGTAAAATAAAAATCTGAACCAATTGAAACAGCATACCTCCTCTTGTTCAATTGTGTGACCAAGCGGCATGATAATTTGTCCCCCGGTAAACCTTGTTGGCCTCATCCCAGGATAAGCATACGAACCAGCTTTCAAAGATGCGGCAGAGTAGGCATCAACATTGAAATCTGCCCACTCTGAACGGTGCTCCCTCAAGAAACGAACGAGAACAGCTGGGGGAACATTCTGGAGTTGAAAAAGATACGCATGCCAAGTTCTCATTAGCTAAAATTTACGGTTTAGCCAACAAGCTGGAGAAAGCATAAGCTCTTAGCCATTCAAAACTAACACTGATTTCCACTAATCCAATTAGACAGCAATATTAAGAGATGCAGACGGGACAAAATCATTGTAAATGCAGCCCTCTGGATAAAGCTCAATGCCCAATCTCAGAACAACAAAGCAATAAAGAAGAATCATGGACATTCTACTATTTTCCCAACACAGAAAAGGCTACTCAAACTCTACAAAATAGGTCAGGGACTCGGGACAAACATATACATCTTAGGTATCAAGAAACATAAATTGAGTTCAAAAGACATATATCCTCATTCATCATGCAAGAAGATTAGATAACAAAGCAAATATGCTCATTCGTGATCCGAGAAGAGTAGATAAGAAAGGCATCTTAGATCATAACACAGAAACTATCATTTTTAGAGTTGATGGTCGTCAGATTCCAGACGTACTTGTAGTAACATGGAAGCCTTTGCACAAAGAACACCTCCAAGTAATGCAAGGGAATTGGCATGGTTCGAAGTAGAAGTTAAATTCTTGGTTGAATTAACTGTAATTATAACATCTTCAGCACCATCACAGTTGACCAATGACCATCCATCATCATTGAATCCATTGACAGCATCATTGAAGCCTCTACAAGAAGACATATCGATAAATTTTATTTACATAAATGATATAGAAAGATGGTGGTTATTAACACTGAAAAAGGTGACAAAGCAATTATACAAACAGATGTATCAAATGAGCAAATGATTAATAAGTGAAGTATAATAACCCACCTGATCAATCTTTGGCTAAAGGTTCGCAGAACAGCTGGCTGCCTGCCCAAGCTGTATACCACTTCACCACTCGTTTCCTGAGCTATTTGCCTGATATACCGTAACGCCTTCATAAAAGAAGCTTAGTTAGTACTTCTATTCTCAAAATATCTAATGAATTTTGTAGGATGGGGAGGGGAGGGGTTTATTAGTTTATCTTTCCGTTCTACAGTCAACATGCTATTAACACTAGCACACCACAGTATTCTAAAGAATAAATGGAATTTACATTGAGAAATTCTACTTTCCAGGGTGCCTTTGGTTCATATCAAAGGGTTTAAAACTTAATGTCTAAAGACATAAAGGAAGTTGATCACATAATGTGAGCTCAGAAAATTCACTTTTTATACAGAAATCAGAATATCAAGCACTTATACATTGATTGTACAGAAGAAAGTATCAAGTCAATGACTCAATCATTAACTACTCACCGCAATAGTCATTCTTTGTGCCACCACTTTGGACGATTCATAAAGCGGTCGCAGCACCTCTGGCACACTCCATGCCTGAAATAAGATGAGAAACAATTGAGTTTTTCTAACTAAGAGACTTACGAGAGTAAGAATCCGAAATTCATACCTCAAGATTCAGGTGGTCAACGATATGAATGATTGATCCTCCACCCTCACATGGTCGAATCAGATAACCACTAGGAAGCATCACGCCTCTAACAAACTGTGAAGCAGAAGCTGGATTTGGGCCAGCGCCAGAACCAGAAAGAGATCTTTCACACACCTTGTAACATAGATAACAAAATATTTTTAGAGCACATTAGGTATCCACTTACAGGAGTACAAAAATAGAGAAGGAAGTCAAATTTGTATTTGTCATAAACTGGTATGCACAAAGTATGACAACATAATATACACCAGAATGCTTACCACAAAACTGCCATTGTCTAGAGTTGTAGTGTATCTCAGGGTCCAAAAATCCCTTGCAGGAGCCAAAGTAGTTGGAGCATATGTCTAGAACAATTAAATGTTAGTTATTCCTTTAAACAAAAACACACGGTAAAACATAATCAGGGAAAAAATTTCCAAGTTTCCAACACTTTTTGTTCACCTGTGTATATATAAGTTCTATGGTTCCTCCATTTCCAGCAGGAAACATGGTAAAAACTTCAAGGCTCCGACAGTCCCGGAACCAAGATGGACGATCTTTAAGGATCTCTGCAATCTGTTGTACATGAATAATTAACTTCAAATTCAAATGCTTCATGTACCTTGTCACATGAAACTAAGGCGTATACAAATATGTAGCAAAAAAAATTCTAGCACTATCAAATGATGTACATTCTTACCTTCGTAGGCTCTAAACTTACGAGGCCACAGGCTCTTGCAGCCACTCCACTGCAACTTTGTGAAATGGCAAAGATCCCAACCGAATCCGGACCAGGCTGGCAAACAATTGAATAAGATGATTCAGCATGCATAAGATGAACAATTTATACCATATGATTGCACAAAAATTTAACAAGAGAGAAGATACACAAACGAGCATTTCCCAAAAATAATAAAAACAAGAAGCAACCTTCATCCCAGGCATCTGGACCCAATCGACAGCAGTTCCTGTAGCCTTGGATAGGAACTCTGCCAAGGTCTCCTCCGCTATGGATAGGAGTCTGCCAAATAACATAATGAAGATTAGATCATGTAATACAAGAAAATCAACATGCCAGTAAATATTTACAAAGGGAATTAGGAAAGGTGAAACTCAATTGGCAGTAAAAATTTACCCAGCAGGGTTATTAGCATCTCTAAGAGAATGCTGAGGAGTTGTCACCAGAGAGTCACAGCTTGCATCAGTAGTTGCAGCTGGTGCCTACAAGAAAATCACTTATTAGAGGGTTAAGTTCTAGCAACCACTAAATTCTACTGCAATTCAGTTGGCCATGCTAAACTCCATTAAATTGGAATAAATGCAAAACTTGCAGATGCAATATTAAAACTTGGCCAAAACATATTAAAACTTTCTAATAAATAACTGCTAAAAGACAAAATATAATTCCAATCCCGGACTATAAAAAGAAAATTCATTCCCTAAAATCTATGATAATTATACTTACAGTATGCAATTGTTGGCGCATATAACCATTTTCACAAACAAGCTGAGAGACTTGTTTCTGTAATCGATCATTTTCCTCCATCAGCAGTTTGTTCATTGCTGATAACTTTCTGTTTACAATCTGCAGTCTTGAGGACTCTTTTCTCTGCTTCTCCCTACACCTGCATACGCAAAACACCAAATCCCCTTCTTTTTTTAACCCAAAATGAATAATCTCAAGGCCAAATCAAACATTAAAACCTTCAAAAAAGTGGAATTGAGTAAAACCCAATTTTTAAATCACCTCATATATAAAAAAAATGAAGAAAAAATCCCATATGTAAAAGCTAAATTCTAAAAAGTATGGTCTTGAACTTTGATCAAACTGGGAAATTGACCAAAACCAAGTTTTCAAAATTACCCAAGAATCAAACTTGATGCACCCAAAAGGACAAAAGCAATGAGGGTAAAAAACCCAGTTGCGAATCAGTCCTTTTCATATGTACCTGCGGTTCTGGAACCAGACTTTGATCTGTCTGGGCTCAATGTTTGATAAAATGGGGCACTCCCGGATCAATTGTTGCCTACGCAGAGAGCTCGGCTTGGGGCACTCGGCGTAGACTCTCTCAAGAGCTTCCACTTGCTCAGATGTGTAACGTACATATTTTCCGGCATCGAGGTGCTTGTTTATGCTGCTCCCACTGCTGCTCTCCCTGTGGTGAGCCACAACCATGGCCATTTTCCCAAACCCCAAACCAACAAAAGCTTAAAGCTAATATAAACAGCAAAAAGTGGGAGGAGAGAGAGGAGAGTGATGGTTTGTTTTGGTTTTTCTCTGGATTTCAGAAGAAGGTTAAAGATTTTCTGCTTTGTAAAGTCCGTCTAAAGAGAGAGTGAGGAGAGAGAGATTAAGTGTAAATGGTTGAGCAAGACTGGATTTTTGAGACAGAAGATTCTTGGGTTTGTGTGAACAGGGGCAGTGGCTGCTTGCTTGTTGGTGAAGACCCAATTCGGGGTTTCGGTTATAAAATCAAAGTCTGGGTTTTTCCTTAATTTCTTCACACAGCTCTCTGTTATTGGTTGCTGTGATTGGAACGTTGAATACAATACAAAATTTTACAAACGAAAGCTCAAAGCCAAAACTTCTAGCTCTTTTGAACAGAAAGATACCAACTTCTTCTCTTTCCAAGAAAGTCCAAAGATATGACACAGACACACAAAACCCACTTATTCCATTGAGTTTCCAAAAACCACCACCTCAATCAGTCTTTTTCCACCCATAGATCCATTTTATCATACAATGAATAGAAGCTTGTTACACATTGCAACTTTGGTTTGAACAAAAAATACAAAGCTCAAAATCATAGTGTCAGGAGAAATGAAATCTCCAGAAGCATCAGAGAGATGGATGTAGGAGAAGACAATCCATAAGAAGAGAGAGAGAAACCCTAATCATAATTATCCTAAAGAGGGAAGCTGTTTTTGCCACTTTCCAGTGAGAAAATGTGAGAGAAGAGTTATGGGGTTGGCTTCATTATTTGATTATTTTATCAGAGAGAGGGGAGGGGAGCTAAAAAGGCAGTGATCTGAGCTGAGCAGAAACAGTGGAGAATAGAAGAGAGGAGAGAGAAAGGTAGAGGAGAGAGAAAGGGAGTGTTTATGTGGCACGCATATCGACACATTTAGCAGTGTCGAGCTCCCAATTTTTTATTTTGAGTAGTTTAATATGGATGATTATTTATATGATTTCGGCGCATTTACGTCGTTGTCCCTAGTGTATTTTTGTAATGACGTCTTATACCGTAGGGGACACATCTATAGGGGCTGAGGCTCTCCTGTCAAATGCCTCGGTCAAGTAAACCAAATCTTATCTTCGCATCCAAAAAAACAAGAAATGCTAAAGAGAGTCCTTCAAAGTGGGCTCTCTACGCATTTTTTGTCAACTTTGTTTAACTTTAATTTTCGTATTAATACTAACAAATATTGTGTAAATAGTAAAAGATGATAGAAAGTTTATAAATAATTTTTCTTTTAAGAGAGACTTCTAAGCATTTCTCAGAAAACACATTTATAAATCTATAGTTTAATATTAATTTTCATGCTAACATTATAAAATATTGTATAAAAAACATGAGGTGACAGAGAGTTCATAGAATCTCACATTTGAAAAAGTCTCATTAGCATTTCTTTTCAATTTTTCAAAGTCTCAATTTCTCAAACAAAAAAAAAAAAAAAAAAAACCAAATTCACTTCACTTCGGTTCTTCTGTTTAGAAATGATTCTAAAACGGCTAAAAACGTATGTTTCTATAGAAAAGTTTGGAAGTTTTCTAATTATATTAGTTCTAACCATTGCGTATACTTTTTCTTTTTTATTATTTAGATGTCACATGAAGGTTTGAAATTATTACAATAATTTAGAGAATTAGGAGCTTTGAACTCATGATACATGGGTGGAAATTCAACACCATATCTACTAGGATATTGAATATTCTAACACTTTAATTACATATAGAATCTTTTCTTCAACTCGATTTTGAGAGTATCACTAATAATACCTAATAAAATAATTCCTTCTAGGAAAATATATTTATTTCAATTGGACATAAAAAGGGGCATTTAGATTTGAGTTCAAAAAATTAACATGCTATTAAGTAAAGTCTGATATTATCTTTTTTTCTAACAAAAAACTAATACGCTAACATAAACTCACCTACAAAGTATACGATCTAACTCAAGGAAGAAATACATGAATGAATAATATACTTATAAACAAGATATGAAATCTAATTAAAGGGCACAAAAACATAATATATCTACAAGTAAGACACATTAACATGTGATACTATAAAAAAAGTATTTGGCATATAAGAAGATAAATACAATTACATGTAGGGGTGGTTCAATATGGGATCCCAAATCGAAAATGGATCTCAAATTCCAAACCGAAAATTTTCAGGATGGGAATTGAAAACCAATCTTGAGCTGAAATTCGATATTCCTAATTTTCAAAATTCCCGAATGTTTTCAGTATTTCAGGATGGATCAAGACTAGATTTTGTGTTTTGGGCTGAAATTTGAGATTTTTGGGAGGCTAAAATTTGAGCTTTTGGCCTGAAATTTTGTTACTCAATTTTATATCAATTGAAATACCAATTCATTCATACCAAGTCAATTTGATATTCCAAAGTTCCAAAATACTCAATTTCATACTTCTGTTTCTAATATAGTCTACTATCAAACTACTCAAATTTAACATTTAACAGCAACCAAAATAAATATATATATTTGGTTTGGTTTGGGATTTCCAAACCATTGAATATGTAATACCGATTCCCGTACTGAAGGTTCGGGATTGGTTTGGTATGGAGTTTCAAAATTTTCAGTATTATCGGTTTTGGAATTTTTCGGTATAGGATTGGGATTTTTTTTTTTTGGTATGGGATTTTTAGGAAAAAATGCTAGCGTTAATTACTTGTGACATAGGTTGATTATAAAAATTAGAAATAAAATATATGAATCGGGTTTAGAGGAGGAAGAAGAAGAAATAACATATATGAATGGGGTTTAGAGTATGAAGAAGATGAAGAAATAACAAAAAGAAAACGAAACAAGAAGAAATAATTACAAAGATAATTAGGAAGAGATTTATTTTCTATAGTGAATTTTATCATTAAAAAAATAATTAATGATAATAAAATAATCATGAATACAAAGGATCATACCTATTTTAATAAAATGGAGTATTCTTAATATTGGTTCAAAAAGTTAGACTTTATCAAGTTTTCTCTAAAAAAAATTATAGCAAAGTGGTACTATGAAGAATAACCTTTTTATAGTCATTAAATTTAGAAAGTTTTAACGAAAAACCTTCGGTACTGTTTATTTTAACGAAAAATCATATTTTTACACTAAAAAGTCAATCATAGTACTATTCACTTTACCCTTTATTTTATCTTTATCATTAAAACTCAAAGTTTTCAAGCCTTTTTCATTAGTTTTTCTTTAAATTTATGGTCCCAACTTAAGCCAATTATAAAGTAAGAATAAACTCTACATTATAATAAGTTATTATCTTTTTATTTCGGTCTTGAATAAACTTGTCTCATCATAGTAGTAATTGTAAATAAGTCCAAAAATATCAAATGCTACAAATAAAGGTTTAAGATAAACTAAAATATTTCTCTAAACTTGTTTGGGACCATGTTTTATTTTAGATTTGATGCCACATTGTTGAGCTTGCATGTGCGTAATACCTTGTGCTTCTAACTTCTCAAGGTTGTTTACAGTTTCTTGGTATGAAACTTTTGTATGCTTTTAGAGCTTAGGTGTCCCCCCTTTTTCATTGTTACATTTTCGATATTTGCATGCTCCATTATTAAGGTAGTTCCCTTGTATTCATACAACTTTCCTTAATTAAGATTATTTTTTTGAACAAGCGATATTAAATTACAGTCTAATAAGTAATAACCTCCTTATAGTAATACAATTGGTTTGGTCCTAAACATGAAAACCTCGTTTTCTAATAAGATTGGAATGAAATGAATAAGAATTTTTAAGTATTTTGAAGGAAAAAATGAAAAAAAACATTATGACTAACTTAGATGTAGGGGATAAATATTACTCAAGAATAAAAGTTATCAATTCCATTCCTCTTCAAAGTATAGTAGGATTACAAATGAGAAGTTTCGTTCATGTCTAATCTATTCTCCTTCTACTCCCTTTAAAATAAAATAAAAAAAATCTTTCTCCTTTACTTTCAATAGGTCGTGAATTTAAAAAAATTATACATTATAATTCAATCCTCCATGAACGAAGCGAAAGACATTTTTGAAGCCATAGAATAAAGGAACAAGGAGGACCAGTGGCTCTGAATATGATTTCCAAGGGAAGTTTCATTTAATCCAAGACCAAACATCATCAAAAGTAAGAAGAAAAAAAATAGAGTGGGTTTTTGTTTATTAGGAAAAATAAGATAATATGATGAATATAACAACAATATATGCGCGCCATCCGCTGCATCCAAGCGGCAACAACTCTATAATTTTTCGAAAAATTTAATATTATATTTGATGCGTGATCAAAAATTGAGAAGGATAAGTTAAAAGTAAAAATTGGTATGTAGATAACACTACTCTTTATATTTCTAATCATATTTGATGCACTTTTTAATTTCTATTAATACAAAAAACTAAGTGGGATTTGATTCAAATTTGTTTTATGGCATTTTCACTTGCTTTTGGCATGCGTAAAAAGGAATCTCACGTGCTTCCCATGTTCCCATTATACCATCTACAAAACATGTAATTTTTCTTATTATTAAAAATGTACTTCATGAGAAATCATAGTCAATTTGACTTAATTAATGTTTTTTTCAGCATTGGGCAAGCAAATGTCTTTCTGTTTTTAATTTTATTGAATAAAGAAGGAAATACCCAATTACCAAAAGGATATTGCATCAGAAACAACAAGGTGGTATAAAAAACTATAGTTTTCCACATAGGGTTCAAATTAATCTTTTTGATACAATCATACTATCATTGTTTATTTTTTTGTTGAATTTGTTGAAGTAGAATATTTAAACAATTGAGATGATCAAAGTGGCCCTAAGTTCAAGGTACAGAGCTATGACCCCATGAAGAATTCGCATTTGCAATTTGATTGAATCATTATCCATCTGCTTTGTTACTATAATCGTCAATTTTGTTTGACACATACGGATAGCTAAACATTCTTTAAATTTAATAAATTTTTCTTTAGACAATTATAATGAAGATAAACGATTATGTTTATAACATTTATATGACTAAACGGTGTCGTGTCGTTATTGAAGGAGGAACAATTATTGTCGTAGTACTGATATATTTATTAAATAACTAAACTAATTCAATTTCGTGTAGTAATTATGTTTTGAGTGTTGCTATACACACATCATTTATACCTTCCACACTTTTTGTTCATTTATATTTTTTAACATTATTTAATTCATTTGATCCGAAAGCAAAAAAAAGTTGGATTTTATCTCAAGGTTCGACCATACTCCACTTAAGAGAATGTCATTAGGCATATCAAAATTCTACCCCATGAACTTGTATGAGGGTTTGGGTTAGTGCCATTAACAAATATAAATGTCACAAGACCATCCCCATTTTATGAAAAACGATCATCGTCGGATTCTTTTCGTTAGGTACTATGTACATTTAATTTTAGAATGATTTATAATCACACGATATACGATGAACGATCACGATCACGAAATCCTTAGGAAAAGAATCTGGCGAAGATTCTTTTCCCCACTTTACCATCTGTCCGTCCATCCTTACCTTTAAAATTCCACTTGTTTTCCATAAAGATTGTGGAACAATTATTTGTACTAAAATAATGAGCAAATGATGAAAAAATTGTTTATTTTAACCAATAAAAGAATTATTATTAAAATAAAGAGAAATGTAAAGGAGGTTCTCTCAATGTGAAGAGAAATTTTTAGTTGTGACGGGAATACATATGGTACACCATATATTTTTATGTAAGTAGTGGAAAATTTTAATTTTTAAGTTATTAATATTTTAACACACGTATCTCACCATTTATATAGGAACATGTGTTGTACCACCTGGTGTGATGGTCACATTGAAAAATCTCTCCAAAGTGAGACTTTTTATAGTCTTTCCATCAATGCACCTTTTTGACA